TTTACTTATGTTGTTTGTGATACCACAACGCTCAGTACTTCTTCCGAATTAAATAGAAGTAGCAGTACTGCAGTACCCTTGCTTGTCACTAGGCATACTTTCATGGGGTCTGTCGGTTTTGGTAGCAATCATTGATTGTGATGGTTGGAGTGCTTCAGTTTAACAATGAGAAATGTTTTAGAGGAATGAGAATTTAGGGGGAGAAAGCTCTCAAGTGAAAGAAAAAGTTGTGAGGCAATTCTCTAAACAGTGGATCAACAGTGAAATCATTACGTCTTTAAATAACAGTAATAAATTTTACTATTCAGAATATATTATTCTGTGCACTCGTTCTTGCTAAAGAATTGGAAATTTCTTATAACGTAGAATCTTCCTGGTTTGAAGATGCAAGGTTTGGTAGTAAAGTAAAAAGACTGAAGGACTAGATATTAAAATAGGATACAATTACAGTTTTCCGTTAATAAGCACGGAATTATTAAACCTTACTAGCACAATAAATGGCACATGTAAAGTCATCCAAAGACTTCTCTATGCATGCGTACAATTATATGTCAGCATTAAAATAATTTTTTACTGCTCTTTGGTCCTGATAGATTTGCAGAAACAGTACAAATAGGACAGACCTGTATCTGTTTTATTTTGTCTGTTGTCATATAATTGTTCTCTAATTTCCAACCTAAGTGATTTTGTTGTTTTTTCCTGTAGCTTTTTGCAACAAGTATCACTGAAAACTGAGCTAGTCTTGTGAAATTAGTGTATTCTTGGAGGTGAGGAGCAGAGGAATCTTTTACTTTTGAGAGTCAGTGTTTGAAAAACTATCACATTTGGCAGTTACTAGAATGAGAGGCCGAATTCTTGACTGTGCTGGATTTCCTGCTTGGTGCAATGGTGTGGAAGAGATTTTGGTAGCTCAGGAAGATGTGGATTTAGTGTTTAAAAAGGAAAGTCTTCTCTCTAAAGTACTCAGCATGAGATAAACTTCTATTTTAAAAATTACAATAACAAATTTTCTAATGTTGAACTGTTTCTTTTTTCCTTTATATTGTCTTATTTACTTATCTGGATTTTGTATTCGTCCCAAGTTTCTCTCCTAATGCGCTTGGAAACGTATTTCTTACACCTATTGTCGATATGGTTGGCTTTCTAGATGAAACTGTTTAGCTTATAATACGTTACTAAAATACTGTTCCACGTCGGCTTTGTCTCTACTCAGTATGAAAATGATCAGTGGAAAATACAAATAACAGCTAGAACATGTAAATTTTGGGGTTTTTTGTTCTAAAACAAAAGTACAATGAAAAAAAGAATATAAAATGCAATATGAACAGCCCACTTTCCTTGCTGGGCCTGAACAGGACTTTCAGGACGCTTTGGAGGGCCTTGCGTTGTCATACAGCACAGCGTTCTCCAGTAAAAACACTGTTGGGGGGAAAAAGCATACTCACTGGCTTGAGACAACTAAGTAAAGGGCCCAAGTTCCTTGCTGGTGGCATCATCGCTGCGGGTGCCTGACACTGCGGCTGAAAGGCTGCTGAGTGCCGCTTCGTGCAGCAGGCAGGCCTGTCTCATCACCAGAGAAAGGTTTAGGGATGGACTGGTGCTTTGAAAGACCTGGAATCATCAGCGAGTTTCTTGGCTTTTTCTCCTGTCTCAGTGATTCTAGAAACTACTAGAGCATGTATTAAATATCGTTTAGAAGAGGGCCGCTGGAATACTGCGAGCTTACCTTGCTTTTGTGCACTTGTCAGCCCCTTATGCTGTTTATGAATGAAGTTTATTGTACCGATTGCATGGTGTGGAGCAGCACTTTGGTGCTGAGTTCATGGCTTCCAAGCAGCTTCCTTGCTGCGATGACCCTGGCAGCAGCCAAAGGAGGCTCAGTAACGCTGTCCTGCTGTAAAAGCTTCCTTTCATGAGCTGACCTTGGACTACTAGATTTCCTTAGAGATGTCATGCCAGCTGTTATCACAAGTGCTTGGTGTGTTGATCGGTGATGAAAGGCAGGTTAAAGTATCTACCTTCCGGTTCATTTTTATGGAACGCTGTCTTGTAGTAAGTGCCGTCCTTTTCTTGTCCTTTGGACTGACATACAGAAACAAAGTCCTGGCAGTTCCGGTAGTTGTTATGAATTCTGTGGCATTACAATAATAGTGGGAGGCCTGACAGTCCTAGTATTTAGGCAAAATTATGATTTTAATGATACAGATTTGCTGCTTTGAATATTTTCTTCTCTAAGTAGTTTCTTCTGGATGTCGTTACTGTTTGCTTCAGGCTCTGTTCCCTTGCTTTCCAGAGATGACTACACGCACAGCATTGCGTTTTCTGTATCTTTTGGTTATATACTTCATAGGTGTTTGTGATAAGCTTAAGTCATGCTTGTAAAGTGTTTTCAAATATTTGGATTAAAGGTTCCAATTAATTAAAGGTTCTGTTTATAAAAAATTGTGCTTTCTCTGCCACCCGTATTCCTTTTTTGACTTATGCTTGCCAATATGCCCACCTTGTGTGTCGCTAATACGTTCGTGTTAATATTTCTTCTATTGTCTTTTTAATTAAAAAAGATGGGAAGATATTTTCCCCCTTTAATTTGGTGAAACGAGATCATATAATACAGTAAACTGACGAGGAGCTGAACCAAACTAATAAACTCTGCAAAGCCCATGTGACACATGGTATGCCTCTACTCTTTCTTTAGTAGCTGTGCAAGCAGAAGTGCTTTTCCCTTCAAAAAGCTGGAAGAAGCATAGTTAAAAATATAAATTACTTTTAATAGCTGTTATTGTCTACACTTTTTATTCAGGCTGAGTTTAAAAAGTAGTTCTCAGTTCACAGTATGTTCAAGCTTTCAAGCTCTAGACCACAAGCCTTCTTACACCTGTGAAAAGAGGAAAGATTGCTAAATTAAAAACAAAACTGATTTTTGACTGCTGAAAGAAGAGCCAATCACTCTGGCTGTCTGGGAAAAAGGCTTCTTGGAAGAGCCAAAGTATTGGCTAGTGGTTGGTTTCAGAAGATGGTTGGTTTCAGGTGTAAGGGGGTAACTTTTGTTACTGTAATGCAAGATTATTCTCTTACTCAAAGCAATTGAGGAACCAGAGATGAGCCAGAATTCAGTTTTCTTTGTTTTTCTCCTAACCATGAGTGAATACGAAGTTATAGTGTTTCTAATTTTGACCTAGTAATTTTAAAACTTAACATGTAAGTCTAATAGTGCTGGTCTGAATTTTGAGTCTTCCTTTAAAAAATGTATAAATTCTTTACAAAATGCAACGTTTGTGACATAGTTCAGCTATGCAAATGTTATGTCCATTTTTTAAACAGACTGCCACGTTTTTCAGAGTGTCATCTCTGATTTTTAGGTGGTCAGTTTTTTCATCTGCTTTCACAGATTTACAAATCCTTTGCAAAGGGGACTGCCTTCCCTTTTTAAGCACAATTTTTTTCCTGAGGGATTTTGTTGCTATATAAAAGTAATAGAGGAACCAGGAAATATCCTCAGGGAAGAGCCACTGGTAAATCAGCCAGAGCTACTGGCCACAAAGGGGATTTAAAAAAAAAAAAGGAACTAGATGCGTTTAATCCTACAACGGACAGAGAAGAACCCGGTGTTAGGGCTACATGCCAGGGAGAAAGAAACTAAGCGTCAAAAAATGGATAGAACCAGAGAAAGGGCAGGTAACAAAAGACCAAGAGTTGAGGACAGAAACAAAATATATAATGAGGGATGTATGAGATGAGAAACAAAAGGAAGCTCTAAAGAACTCTAAGCATCAAAGAACAAAAGTTCATTTATGCATTTTCTGATCTTACCTCTGCAGCTGCTGTTAACATGCATTTTCTATGCTTATTAACGAGCGCTGTCAAAAATGTTCGTATAGTCTTTAAAAAAAATACAAGAAACTGTAATAATTCTGGACATGTTCCTTTTTCTATCATTTTTTTGAGGCAAACTTATTTTGTTCTGTGCCCTTATACTGCAGAATTAATTTAGTTTCACGGTAAGGGAATGCTGAATGCCTGCTCCTGGGCTTTACTGCGTGCAGGCAGCAAAGTACAGTTTTGCCGTGTCTGCCTGTAGTCTTGTATTAAGCATTTCTGGGAGGTGAATTGGTGCTATTTAAAAACAAATAAACAGAAAGGGGCATTTCAGAGAGAGAACTGCTTCTGGTTTTATTTTGGCCTATGTGGACTAATCCTGCAAATGTCTCAGAAAGCTGTGTAGTATTCAGGATTGTTTTCCGCAGACAATGTTGGAAATTCATCACTTTTAGGCCATTGTATACTTACGGGATTATCCTTCTTTAATAGGTGTTCATGGCATATTTCTTTTTTGCAATGCAAATGGCTGCAACCCTGTAAGGCAGTTGTACATTGTTTGATAATTATGTTATTTATGGTATAATTTTTAATCTAACAGGCAGGTTCAGGCTTGCAAATCCATTCTTTCCATTAAATCTCACAGGTAATGTGTAGGTACTTTGAGACCTTTAAAGTTGTCCTATGAACAAACATTTACATTGTAGCAATGCATTGTAGCAGTGCTTACATTGTGCTTCACCTCTTGAAACAGGCTATTCTCTGCCCTACAATTTTGTGACTTTGCTTTGTAACACCTGAAATGGCAATGAATGACCTTTTCCTCAAGTGTGTTTTTGCTTCATCAGGTAAAGAAAAATGTTTAAAACAGTTGCAAGACTTAGAGTAAGCGCTGACTGGACCCCCGCAGCCACACGTGCACACACAAAAAAAGCTTGATCTAATGCAAATACAGTTAAAACAAAATCTTAAGTGTATTCTGCACAAATATAGGAACGCTTGCAAGCAGTAAGTGTTCTTGTAGCTGGTTGCTATGACTTCT